CTATTCTACCTGAAAAGACTAGCACGAAATAACTCACAAGTTAATTTTCTAGCTCTTCAGAATTAAAATTAGGAAGATGAATACGATTGAATATTCAGTGATTTGAGATAAAGGGCTTGGAGCATTTCAGCCTTAACGATTGACCAGGCCATAATGTGTATCTGAGATCGCTAGAAATTACCCAACCTTCCTAGTTGATTTTTGTTCCGTCAACTGGAGAGTTGGGTCATTTCGTCATTACGCAATTTTCCCAATTTATTTATGACTTGTGGGACAGGTTATCGAGTTGTGCGCCATCGTATGCCTGCATGTCTGCTCGCCAGGTTTGGGAGGTGCGGCCGTACAACTCTGTGTGCAACGACCGTACAAACAGTGGCTAATCATTAACCTCTGCTTAACCTAATCCCCCATCCTGATCATGATTAGGCCCCCTACGTGTACGCTTTGTCCGCAATAGCCGTACTGAATAAACGTGCTCCGTGCTACACGTCTGTTTCCTTTCATGGCTGGGCTATAGCTTAGCTGGTTCTGGGAGTCTAGCTAGATGTTGGAGAATCTGCTATAGAAATTTCTGAGTCAGTCAGGCTTTACTAAGGTAACAATCCGCTACAGACTCGTTGATGGACGTTACTTGTTGGTGCTCCCTGTCAAATTCCTCATTGATGATTCAAAACTCTTACTTTACCCTCTTTATTTTTAACTCTCATGTTTTCGATTTTTTGTTGATCTTATAAAAATTAACCAGTGATGACTGGCTAACTCGGCAATTGCCTCGTTCATATATTTAATGACTTGTCAGGCTGAATAACTTCAATGCTCCATTTATTAGTTGTTGGTAAATCACCTACACAATTTCTTATTTATTATTTAATAAATCCGTTAATCGATAGCTATTTGAGTATATTTCGTTGAATCCCACTGCGATATATCTACTCAGCCGGAAAGATACTGCAACTACACCGCCAATTAATACGGTGTGGTCGGAAGTACGGAACGTAGTTCTTAGTCTGTTTGTGTAACCATAGGGAATGTCAATGCATTACCTACTCACGACATGCCCTCAACCTTTTAGCTTTTCAACTTCACATTTTATGTACATGCATATTTACCTAAGTCAATACTTAAGTGCATTAATTCATTGCCTAGACTACTCAACCTCTGATAACTTTTTTTCAAGGCTTTATGACGAGTCGACCGAATCACACTTTCCCTTACCTTTTTGAAAAAAATTCCCTTTGTACTCGACTTTGCGATATTCAGATTATTGTTGTAAAGCTTTTAAGTAAATCGCTTAATAAAAACCCATCACCACTGGGGGCTTCAGGACCCCAATATGCTACAAACTTCAGGGAAAATATTTAGTATGAGCAAAATTGAGATGGATAAATGGTGACTGATAAAATTGCTTTAATACAAGAAATCCTAAATGAAAGACGGGTATAATTTTTTGTACGAGTCTATATACTGGACAGTATTCTACAATTGTACAAGCTTACACCGAAGTCTCCCGAGATACTTCGTTAATCGATCGTCGAGAGTGGCTTGTTAGCGTTACCAACAAACCAGCAGCTACTCGTGCATTCAACTCAACGGCGTCAACCTCATGGAACCATTCGACCGAGCCCCATCGTTTCTCCTACAATGAAAACCAAACGTAAGCAACTTGAAATATAAATAATGAGATGACATAGGACAAGTCTTTCGACAAAACAACTAAAAAAACAAGAACAGAATTCATTCCCAATAGAACAGAGGAGAATTTTTTTGCATTTTCTTTGGGTGAAAACAAAAAAAATGGAACTCTGCAGCAAAAGAAACAACCGTTCCTAAAAAGTAGGAAATCAAAGGGAGCAAGCATGATGAATTGAGGAACGATGAAATGCTTTTGAAATTTTGTAAAGGCGCGAAAGGATAACGAAGAACTAACCTGAAAAGTTTGTTCCAGTCGAGAAAGTTCGACTGCTCTTTTGGAGGTGATATAACCATCCACCATGGCAAGAGTCAACCAAAGGGACTTGAGGTTCTCGACGCAAGTCTGGATACCTAAGAAAAAGGACAAGAATTAAAAATAGTGTTCTTAAAGGATGTGAGAGCAGTAATCTACTTGGCTGACTATTATCCGATAGCCTGCATCGCTTAACAAAAGTTGTTCTAAAAGGTAGTCATAAATACGAATTTATTAAACTAAAATAATCGGTTGAAAGTGAAGTTAATATAGTTACTTTTTATTGAAAGCAGTTCTGTAAATACAATTGGACTAACACTTAGTGATGCCGAAAACTGATAATTTTACGAAGATAGGAATAGCATCAAAATGCACAGACTTTTAGTGCGTAGATACACTAATGCTAATGCATTCAAATCACCTCATTCCACGAAAGACACAATTTTAAAAAAATAAACATCTCTTTATCCGCGATCAAACAAATTGATATTCGAAAGAAAGTATTTACACGGAGGCTCAAGGTAAATTCGATTAATCGACCAGACACAAGAGATAATAAACTTACCAATTAGTCCCCAACGATTGTAAGAAAGGAGATGACTGGTTATAAGTTCGCGGGATTTTGGTGAGATAAAAGCAAGATCAAAACCCATGGTAACTGGAGGTCGGAAATGGTATTGTGTTTGGATAACATCCAGTATTGGTCCCCACTTCTCTTCCTGCTCAGCAAATAGCTCTTCGGGAGTTTCTACTCTATAACTGAACATAATCATAAAACACTGTTTATTTTACAGACCAAATAGTATCAGTATCTGCAAACTCCATAATACCATTAACGATTTTCTCCTTGGAACGTTCAGTAGGGTTATCAATAACATGACAACAAACATTTGTCTGAAAAGATTTTAGAAGGAAAAAAATAGACATACTAAGGCTAGAGTGAAGCGTTTAATATTTTGTTGCTGAGAATCCCATTCCTGAGCAATCGCTAGAGCTAAGCCTTCATGAGGGACACACAAAACATTTCCTCCTGGAGTACGAAGACGACTTTTGTCCAGAAGGATTTCGTACCCGGGTTCACTAAACCCATCAACTATTAAAAAACAACAATTGATATAAAGCATCCACATAAATAAAAAATTGTATAAATTGCTAAAGTATAAATGTAGCTTACTTTTAGATACACTTTTTGCGATGCTGACATTTTTGTAAAATCGTTTTAATGGTGCTAAATATAATTCAGGTCAAAAATTAAATATTTATCCAACCTTTGGTTGAAAATGTCGATTTTTGAAAATTAGCAGTACAACCTCTAGCCAAAAATCGAAAAAGGTGCATTTCGCTTGGATATTAGCACGAATAAGGTTACTCTAGGCCATTATTGCATTAGCATTCAATGGCATTCAGTTTCCCACTGCCCATAAATGATGTTTCTATTAATGTATCTATAATTGAAAAAGTCATATAGATATGTTAATTTAAAATAAGAGATGACTAACTAATTCGCTCATATGATGAGTGTTAAGCATCAAGTCTTCGATGTACATTAATCACATCATTATGACTGATTGGTAAGTGCACATAATTTATCCACCTTAAATGAATATTCTCTTTCAAATTTTAATTAATATTCAAAGTACAGTTTTCAAATTTCCGAAAAGGTAATTCATATTACTTTACTCTAGGCAAAAAAATTCGGATATAATTTCGCGGTCTGGGATTAATAATAATGTACTTTCTTACTACATTTTCAGTCGAAAGTATTTGTCAATTTAACGGATAAGCGTGTTCTTTTCGCCTTATACGAATGAAAATGACGGCTTAAATAATTTTTAGCCACCTTCATTTGACACTGATAAGAATAAGAATAAGAGTTCAGGTGATTAGGTTTTCACGTAAAGCCGACATAAAACTCAACTAAAATAATTTTCTTTAAAATTATTATGTTGTTAGAAAATTAAAAAGATTGATTTGTTAAACTAGTTACATCATATCTTGATTGCTCCCGCACAACTTAAGTAGGCAGTCTGGCATACTATAGTCATGCTTTCTTCTGTTGGGTCAGATAATAGGGAACAGTGAGTTACTTTTATTCTTAAGCACTATTGTTTTCTTTATATATTTTTTTAATATCTTTCAGGGGATCTCCGCCAATCTTCATTAATTCAGACGACGAGAGTAGCCATGTAACTATTCTACTTTTTTCATTTTTGACAAAATTTAGAATCGTTTGATATTTTTACAAGTGACTGATAATTTCTAATTTTTGATCATTTTCTAGTGCAAACGCAATCGTCTGATTTCTTCAAATTGGTTTGTACCTGAACCTGTTCTACGAGTTGGTAGTCGAACAGTGTTCACTCGCGGCCGACCACCATGGTACACTCGTGAGGGACAAATCGATAAATGCTTTGTAGTTGGCATCTGTGGGGGTTCAAGTAGTGGCAAAACTACAGTGGCTCAAAAAATTATTGAGAAGCTCAATGTTTCCTGGGTCAGTATACTTAGCATGGATTCATACTACAAGGTAAGAATATTTTTCTGTTTTTTGCACCATTTACTTATAAGGTTCTAAATGGCAAACTATATTTGTCAATGCGTTTAAAAAATTCCTTTTTGATTTGACTTTGAATCATATTATATCATTTATGAATTTTTGTTTATTAATGTTTTCGTTAAGCTATTCTATTTTTTATATTGTTGTATATAAAACGTTATCTGGCTATTAACTTAGCTCCCAAAGCTTGAAGACTGTGATTAACTATATTGTCAATACTTCTTAACAATTTCGTAACTGTTATTAACGAGTTGAAGATAACTTACTTTCCATTAGTGGCTTCTCTCTTTACAATTTTATTGGGCTTACGTACTAAATGAGTGTCTAACGCAATCTTTATGACATGTCCGTTTTGTTGTTAATTAATTTAACTAGCATTGTCTAATAGTTGTAATTATTTTTTAATGGGAAGGAAAGTGTTCTTCGTGACAGTTTGTGTTGATTTTTGCATTAATGTGAATTTTGTGTGCCAATGGTAGTCTTCAAAGACTAGTACTTTTCAGTTTTTTTAATCTCATTAAGAGGGGTCTTGCAACATTAAGATTAATGCTAACTTTTAATCGGTAAAGGATGTCGTATTTTATACTAGAATTTACCCATATTAAAAAACGCTTAGCTAAGCACTGCTTTAACTTTTTATGCTCTTTTTTTCTTGTGGAATGTGTCCTCGTTCCATTCTTTAGAAATATTACTTTCTTAATAACCTAAAAATCCAATTGGATATAAAACAAAGGCCGTGGAGACAGACTGTTTCTTTAATGTAATTACTAATAGAAGCATCAAATGCGTGTTATTGTTTGATTACTTGTCATTCAAAATTCTCTTTGTCTTTTTTGGCAAGCCTTGTTCTTCAAATGTGTTATTTTATCTGTGTCAGATTGTGCAGAGAGTTTTATCTGGTTATTGGATATGTACGTTGATGTTAAAAATACTCTTTGGTAGCTATTTTTCAATTTCTGATTGTTTTTATAAAGGTTCTTTCAGAAGAGGAGAAGCTATTGGCTAAGGAAGGTCGATATGACTTCGATCATCCCTCTGCTATTGATTCCAAACTCCTTATCGATCATCTCTCTCGTCTAAAGGAGGGTAAAAGTGTCCAAGTTCCTGAATATGATTTTTCTACTCACTCGCGAGTTGCTAAAACTGTAAGTTTTAAATTTAAGCTTTGTGGTTATATGTTTAAATGTGCCACAGATATGTTGGTATAAATTTTTCCTTTCATTCCAATTTTTCTTCTAGCGAACGCTCTACGGTGCTAATGTGGTAATCTTTGAGGGTATCATGGCCTTCTGCTATCCTGACCTCGCCAAGGTATGTAAATTGACATGAATCTTTATTTCTCAGCTTAAACTGAAGGTCAAAGTTTCCCGATTCTAGTTATGATGCGTCAATAACATGGGTTTCTATAGGACAGCTTTTCAGAGAGATTCTAAGTTTGAGATAAGCATTTAAAAAATCGGCATATTTTTTACGATTTATAAGCGTTCAACGTAGGGATATTCTTTCAGGAAATCATACAGCAGCTTACATTTCTTTTCATTTGACTCGTGCATAAAATGGTTCTCTTTTTCTTTACAAATTCACAATCTGAGAAGCTTAATGGTTTTCTGGTCGTGGGTCACTGATTTGGTTCTAAACTTCAATACGTCTAATAAAGGTCCCCTTAAATCCAAGTTTATATGAAAAATGGTTCCAATATGCCACTTTTGGCAATCGTCAACTTTTAGATTTTCTGGGTTTTTTAATAGGCACAGTTTTCTAAAATATCGATTATGATTTAGTTATCTAATATTTAATCCAAGACTACCTTTTGTTCATTTTCACACTTTTCTAGGGTAGATCTGAGTATTTTTTCACTTTATTTTCAACAGTTGGCTTCTTAATCATCTATCTGCCGTATGGCTTCCATCATACTTCATCTGCAAACTTCTACCGGAAATAATAATGGCTACTCTTACTGTTTCACTCTAATTTCCTGTAAAGTCAAGCTTATTTTTATTCCTCTTTCTTCTTTTTGAATAAACTCAAAGTGATCCCAAAACATCTCTCTTTTTCTCTCCTTCCCATTTTAGTTATTGGATCTCAAAATTTTCGTAGATACTGATTCAGACGAGCGTTTGTCGCGTCGACTTTTGCGCGATATCTGTTACCGAGGTCGGCAAATTGAAGATATCTTAACCCAATATGAAACCTCTGTGAAGCCCGCTTACGACACCTACATCGCTCCGACAATGTCCATGGCTGATATCATAATTCCAGGAGGAGGAGAAAATGCCGTAGCCATCGATCTAATCGTCCGTGTCGTGGAGAAACGCTTAAAGGAACATTCCCACCACCTTCGCTCAGAACAGGCTAATGGTCTTCGACAGTCCTTCAGCCAACTCCGCTTGAATGGATCGACTGTTTTCGCTGTAGCGAAGGGTGCTTCTTCGCCTAGCGGAAGTGGAGACAGTGAGAACTCACTCGAGTCAACCCCAGTTACCCCTGAAGGTGGTGCCGCCGCATTTCCATGGGGAGATAGTGCTAGTAACCCGCATATTGATCCAGCAATCATCCCGGCTAGAGTTAATGTTCTGCCTGTTACCCCACAATCACGGTGTCTTCACACAATGCTAAGGGATAGGAACACCAACCAGGATGAGTTTATATTTTATGCAGAGAGGCTTATGAGACCTGTTTGTGAATTTGCCTATCGGCTTCTTCCATATGAGGTAATTATGCAGCAAAGGTCTCCATATAAAAACGTTTTATTTTAACCGGGGGGGGGGTGAGCAGAAAAGCCCAATCACAATAGTTAAGTCTGGCTAATTAAGTCGATTTTTTTCACCGGGGAGGTCCATTATACTACACTATCCGTAAACATCTGTTGGAAAACAATTTTCTATATCGGTTTCCGTAAACACTTTGTTAACTCAAAGACTGGACTGAGAGGTTGTTCCCTCCGTTTGGTCTGTTGGTGATATCGTAAAAATAGATTGGAAATCGAATTTTCTCGCTAACTATGAAATAGACTTTTATTTCAGATCTATTTAATGAAATTTGCAATTTTTCATAAGACATTTTTTTGCCTTGATTACTTTACATTCGTAGCAGAAGATCAAAAAGGGTAGAAGTCTAATTTTGGGGTCATTGTTTGTAAGATGAGTTCAAGTTTCCACCTGTCTTTCACGTCGTTTGTGAGGTTCATTTTTCCACAGTCTAAATTAATCGTCCTGTTTTACAAATAAAACTGTGGTTGACAGGTGCAAGAAGGATTCTGCAGTGTTAAATGTTTTTCTTTTTTATTTCGGGTCAAAACGACAATTTAGAGACATTTGTTCTCGAAGTTTACAGTCTAAGAGACTGTTTATGTCTGCCTTTCTATTTTGGACGTAAGAGTTCAGAGCTTATTTTGGAGTTTTTAATTGGCGATATCCTGCCACGCCCATGCCTGGATAGGTGGTGAATTGCCTACATACTAACTGTCACGGATCTTTATTCAAAACTTGAGAGTTGAATTAGTTTTACATCGGTTCTTACAACGCGCTGCAAGGTAGCGTGCTAAGGTGTTTTTTTATTTACAGTGGCCTTATTATGCTCAGGTAAAGTTAATCTAACCTTTTGGTTATAAGGTCATAGTTCCTTTGAGCGGGTTATTCAGTCTAAATCTGGTTCCTAAAGTAGGCAGAGTTATTGTATCGGCAAGTACGTCATCTCCTAGACGCCGCTTGCAGTTTTAGCTCTTAAGTGCCAATGGCGAAATGGTTGCTGACGACGGCTATGTAGACAGTCAACAAATGGACTCCAGAATACTCTCCCTTTTCCCAAGTACTGTATTAGCATTTCATTTAATTCGATTGAAAAGAGGCATTAAGGCGTTATGAGGTTTGAATTCGAAATCAGCAGCAGATTGTTCTCTTGAGCAACTCTGTGTCCTCAAATTCCTCATTTTGAAATGATCTCAAGGATAAAGTGAAATAAATTATCGGCTTATTGAAATTGGAGATGAAAGGTGGATGGACATTTTTAACATCGAAATCAAATTTAATAATACCTGTCGATGTGTACAGGGCTATAGCTATGTTACTCCCCGATCAATTCATATTTCGGAACAAGGTCTTAGCAAATTTCGATTAGATGAAGCACAAGCGTAATAGTTATAGTGATATCAGTACTTGTTGCTGGTTCTCAAAAATGATCGTGATTGAATTCTGGGTTGGGTTATGCCGAAATTACTGGTTGTCCAGTAACTAGTGCACCTTGAATGTGTATGCATTCTTGTTAATTTTTCTAGCCCATGTGTCTGTTTTTTTCAGGATGTTATAGTGGACACCCCTCAGGGTATTCCCTACCATGGACGTCGATTAGTTCCGGGTACCAAGATCTGTGGAGTTTCAATCTTAAGAGCAGGGGAGGCTTTTGAACCCTCTCTCACAACTGTGTGCAAGGATGTGCGACTTGGCAAGATTCTCATTCAAACCAACCCCGAGACACTTGAGCCTGAATTGCATTACCTGCGTCTGCCAAGCGATATAAAAGTGAGCTTATTTACTCTTTTTGTTTTCCGCCTAAATAGTTATGTGCTTCCAGATTACCGTGATATCTGATTCTCTCATGTTTTTTCTTCTAATGCTGCCTTTACTCCACTTTGTGTCTGTTTTACTTAAATTCATTGATCCCAGGCAGCTTTAACTATTAGTACTGCACTTTGTAAATTCAAAGATGAGCTGGATTTTCAAAAAAACTTAAGCAGTTGTCATGTCTTCGTATGTGATTTTGCAAAATCACCTTTCATAAGCACGAACCCAATCAGCCAGATATTATGTGTTTTATTACCTCTATTATTTCTATTCGATTGTTGCACCAATCCCATCACTGGAAATTTACAGTAAAAAATGTCGCCATTTAGTATCTGAATACTGTTCGGTTGAAACCATGTCTGAAAATTAAGAGCTGTCCTGCATGCATTCATTAACTTTATCAATCAAATTATTTAAAGCCAAATTTCTCGTTTCTATCGCTTGTCTTTAGAACAGGTGTACATTTTTGTTTTCCGTTTACTTAACAACGCCTCCTTCATGTCATAATATCGAAATTCGTAATAACCAAGTTATAGGTCACTCAACTTATTCCTCTTCGCATTAGAGTTTTATTAAACAGATTAAGTGTTGTCACGTAGTTATGCAATCATATCAGATAGAAAATCCAATGGCATAACCACACTGATATACCTCCCCCCCCCC